GGTTATTGGAGTTGACCGGTTTGACTTGTTGACTTTGAATTGACCGAAATTTGACGGTTGTCACACATGCCGGGTCGGGTCAAGTACATACCAAATATAGTTATGGACTTAGACATTAATCCAACACATTACTCATGTATGACCAAACCCTAAAGTCAACAAAAGTCAAACTCGAGTCAACAGTCCATGTTTGACCCGACTCGTCGAGTGCATCTATGTGACTCGTCGACTCCCCTTGTTTCTTCTGTCATATCGCGAAAGTCCACCTTGACTTGTCGAGTTGTCTCGCCAACTCGCTGAGTCACCCATGTCCATACTCATCGGGGAAAAACCCCAGCCAACTCGTCGAGTCAGCTCATAGACTCGGCGAGTCCCTTCAATCTGATTTCTCATTCAGACGATTCAAGGCAGCTCTACTACTCCAAACACTAGATCTAGCATCCCAAGACTCCATTGTCATGTAAAGCTTCAATCTTTGCGTTCATGCATGGTAGTTTTGCTCCAACATACCAAAACATGCTCTCACAATGTGTTAAGCACAATATCCTTCATATGGGTGAATAAAGTTGGGACCTTTGGACTCTAGGGACCTCACAAGGTCCAGATCTGAGGTCCAAACCTCAAGACAACTCTGTAAGCTCGAAATCCCAAATAAAGGTGGCATAAACCTTAACCTTCCAAAATCAAGAGATCTAACCATAATAATGATAAAGGTATGAACTTTTCACCTTTTACAGAAGCTCTTGGATGACAAGCAACAGATCTAACAGCCTCTTCTCGTTCCTTGCTTGAATTCCTTCTCTTCCCCTCCAAAGATGCACCAAAATACTCAATATAAGCTCAACATTCACTCTTTTAGCTCAAAAAGGCGACTAGGGTTTCTCTCAGTGAAGTTGGGCAACTCATGAGCCACAAATGAGGCTATAAGTTCCCTTATATAGGCCCCAAACCCGGGGATTTAGGGTTTCACTACACAGCACCTACTCGGCGAGTCGGCTCTCCGATTCGTCGAGTCCGCTCATTAAACCCACGCAGTCAACTCGACTCTACTCGACGAGTTGGACTCACAACTCATCGAGTCACTCAATAAACCCCAAAATAATCACACCATTAATATACCTAGGATTTCGGATGTTACATGATACAATGATGTTGAGTTATAAGCAAAACATGAAGAATCCCTTAATTCATAAGTGGTTCTAAGGATTATTAGCCACAAGGGAAAATTAGGAATATATTAAAAATGAATTATGATCTCATTATGAAATTGATTTCATCAAATTAGGTAGATTGGAAAGCATCAAGTTGCATCAGTGTGGTAAATTGATGGATTGAAATGGTTAGGATATTATAAGAAAATACTAATGAGTCATTTAAAATATTAAGCACTTAAGTCTATTTAGAGAAGTTTAACGATCGATAAATGTCATGATTTATAGTGAAGACTTAATGGATTAATCTAATAAATCTTTATCAGGAAACAAACTTTTAAACTATGAGATTAACCCATTATTCATGTCTCAAGTTCATACGGATATCTAGAACAAAAGAATATTCTATCACTTGTCTAAATGTCAAACTTGATCAAGGTCAAATGTTTAGCAATTGCATTGAATAGCTAACTCTCTGTTAGTTATTTGAGAAGTATTAAGACCTTAAAAAGTTAATGACTTGTCCAAGTGGGAGACTGTTAGAAATAGTGTCTAATGTTATTAACTAGTTGATAATATTTCTAAATAAGAACATGATCCTTTTAGGTTGGCCTCGTAACATAAATAACATTAAGGAAATTAGAGAAAATAAGTTGTTAATTCATTAAGGAATTAATAAATTAATTAGAAATTATTTTGGTCATTAATTTAAAAAGTTTTAATTAATTAAATGGGTTGAATATTAATTAAATTCTTGAGATTAATTGGAATATTCTGGAACTTTCCAGAATGAGGAGGTGGACGATTTATGCTTATCCTGATAAGGATAAGGCGGGTTATGAATAAGGAAAGGATAAACCATAAGAGTTTGAATCTATTGAGTTTTTATTTGCTGCCTATAAATAGAGGGCTTGAGATTAAACCCTAGAAGACTTTTGAAGCCTCTAATTTTCGTTATCCTCTCTATCTTTTGAAGCCTCTAATTTCGTTCTCTTCTCTCATTTTCTTCTACATATACGAAAATCACAATCCCTCTCTAAGGTTATGCAATTTTCGAATAAACCCTAATAGGGTTTTCCATGGCTGCTTTTGGAGTCTTGGGTCTGACTACATTAGAGGAGTTCTACTTTGGGTTCTTCATCCATTGCAAGGTTGTTAATCACATGATCCAAGGATCAATAGGTAAGTGTTATATTATTTTAGTTTGATTTTAATGTACGTTGCTAAAACTAGTAAAACCTAGATTCTATGATGCATGTGCACTTAGGTAAATCTTTTGATCATTATGCTACCTTTCGATAGTGTACTTGATGAAATAAATCCTCAACAACAACAAACTGATATGTGAGGAGAAAGCTTTAGGTCACACTATGGAGTTATGAGATGAGAGCAAATGTTTTCTTCATGTTTCTTTGTTTATTTATTGATGACAGTGTACGCTTTCTTCATGTTTTTTTTTCTATTTATTGCCATAAATCAAAGAATAAAAAGACCAACTACTTATTTATTGTTTTGTTTCAACATGTGGCATAGGAAACACAAAAGATTCTTTTACTTTTTTTTAATAAAATAGTTTTGATGGTAGAAAGTTAACTTAATTTTTTTTATATAAAATCAATTTTAGTATTTAGCTTATTGCTATAATATTAAATTATCATTTATTGTATTTTATTACTTGAATCTACACAATGTTTAATAATAAAAAGATTAATAAAAATTTAAATCATTATTTTCAAATTTATATTTTTAACAAAATAATGTTCTAAACATTTAACTATTAATATAAAATAACTTATCAAATTGTTTTAAATGTAGTATTATACTTTAAGTATAGAAAAAGTAGACATTTTTCAACATAAGAAGAAAGAAAGAATGCATAAAACTTACAAGGTGCTGGATAAGGTAACAACCACATCCCCTTCCTCCTTCCTCCTCGTGAACTTCTCATGCTGCTACTGGAACTTACCTCCGAGTGTCTTCCTTTTGATCGTCCTCTTCCTCCTGTTTTTTCTTCAACAATGCACTCCTAGTCTCGACACAACAAAACTGATGGGGGAGAAAGTTTTAGGTCACGATATGGAGTTATGAGATAAGAGTGGATGCTTTCTTCATGTTTCTTTGTTTATTTCTTGATGAGGGTATATGAAAGATTCTTTTACTTTTTTTTCCATTTTCTTGTAAAGTAGTTTTTGATGGTAGAAAGTTAACTTTAAATTTTAAATATTTCTTTAACTAAAATTAATTTGAGTATTTAGCTTATTGCTAACTTGACATTGGTAATATTAAATTAACATTTATTTTGTATTTGATTATTTAAATCTACATAATGTTTAATATAAAAAAGCATAATAAGAATTTACATCATTATTTTCAAATTTATATATTTAGCAAAATAATGTTTTGAACGATTTAGTTATTAAAATATCATTTGTCAAATTGTTTTAATTCATTGACATTATTATACTTTAAGTATGGAAAAAATGGACATTTTTAACATAACATAAAAATAAGTCATTCAGATTCAAATAATGTATTTGATTTTAAAACAACAATATTTTATCGATACATATTATTATTTATTCGATATAATTTATGAATTCGGGACTTAATAAGAAAAAAAACAAAGTCTGATCTATAAGTTTATAAGAAATAAAAGATACATTTATGTATATATCACATTTAGATGAAATCAACATCAATAAGATCTATGTACATGTTAAAATATTATGTTGGAGGAATCCCAAAAATATAAACATTTTCAACATAAAAGGAAAATAGTCATTCAGATTCAAGCAATGTATTTGATTTTAAAACAACAATATTATATCAATAATATTTTATCGACACATAGTATTATCTATTCGATATAATTTATGAATTCGGGACTTTATAGGGAAAAAAACAAGGTCTAATCTATAAATTTATAAGAAAATAAAATATACATTATTTATATGCCACGTTTAGATAAAATCAACACCAATAAAAATTATGTACATGTTAAAACATTATAATGTCAAATTCCAAAGTAAAACAATCATATAAAAGTATAAATATTTAGTAAATAAATATATTATGTTATAAAAAATATAAATCTTGATAGACTTAAGTTGTTTTATAGATAAATCAATGGACAAATTTCATATTAGTCCATCAAACTTTTCGTGTTTGTTTTAAAAGGTCATTAAACTATTTTTTTACACATTAAAGTAATAAAGTCTCATATGACCGTTTAATTACATCCTTTTACCGATTGTGAAAGGTATAAAGCATATTTTCGTGACATGGGCCTCCACCGTGGACTAGTACTGTTGCAATCTTGGTCCCCAAGATTTCCAAGTCATCCTCGATGGTCCCCCTTATAAATTGAAGGGATACCCTAAATTCGTGTTCCTCACCCACTTTGTTACCCTAATCCGCAACCTTCGCATAATACAACCGATTTCGATCTTTCCCACTTATAAATCAAGAAGATGGCCTCAGAACAAAGCTTCTCCTATGGTGGTTTCAGAGTGTCGGACCTAGAAGTACCAACTGACTACGAGCTTCATGCCATGGAAACCCAAGTGCAGATTGAGAAAATGAGAGATGACATGCGACAACAGTTTGGCAAGTTTAGGGAGGAAATACGGTACTTGAAAAAGGTCATGACCGTGATCGTTGGTGTTGGAGTTGTAGTTATGTCATTGATCGGGGTTCGTGTTTGCATCGAAAGCTCTAAAGCTCTGGGTGGGGATTTTGGTGGATGTAGTTGAGTCGGTAGGTAGCACAATGGCGATCTTAGCGTTTTTTGGGTTGATGGGGTTGTCGAAGTTTGTTTGTTTTTGTCTAAGTTCGCCATCTGCTAGTATAATATGTATGTATTAGGGTATGTTTTGTTGTTGGTTATTTTGATCAGTGGTGCCTATTGACGATGTTAGGGTTTTTAGAACCATCTTTTTGGGGGTTTTTGGTAACACGATAACCTCAGTTGTAATGTATGGCCACTTCGATGAATGAAATGAAATCTAGTTCCTATTAACCATTTTTTCATATGATGTTATTCTAATATTTAGTAATGCACTTTGTCACACCCCCAAACCAGAACGGCGGAAACGTTCGGGGGCAGAGGACGTCATGTTCAGTATCATAACAATGCACAATAGTAAACAAGCAACAACATCATCCATTTCATTAATAATATAATTTAATACAAGTGTGTTATGTGTATAGTTTGCAAGACACCAAAATATGAATCAAAATAAAAGATGAGTCTTGAACACGCTCTGTCTTCTCAAAACCTGGTCCAGTGTACCTGTCTACTGGTAACCTAAGAATACAAGTTATTTTGAAAGAGTAGATCAGCATTAAAGCTGGTGAGTTCATAAGTATTTTAGTGTCAAATGTTTGTATAAGTTTGAAGAAAATGTTTGTAAGTGTTTGATGTAAAGTTTGTAAATGTTTCATGTAAAGTTTGTAAATGTTTGATGTAAAGTTTGTAAATGTTTCATGTAAAGTTTGTAAATGTTTGATGTAAAGTTTGTATACTTCCTAGAAAATCCTATATTTTCTACTAAAA